ACCATGCACCCAGAACCAGGAATCAAACTTTGACCCTTCTGTGGAACTAAGAGTGGCCTAAGGTTGAAGATTGGCATAGCATAAATCAAATTTAATACTAAAACTGAACTAAGTGCTATCTAACAAAACCTGTAAGATATATGGGGGAGGGGAAGAGAAGCAGAAAAGTAGAGCATGTTGTTCTTGGTCCGTCATCATAAAGAGCCATTTTTGGAACTCTTTCCACATTTGCTTCAGAGCCCATTATAAGTATTTTAATTTTTATTATTAGTTGTAAACTTTAATTCAAACATGAAAGTAAAAATCAAGTAACTGCAGTTAACATTTTGATTAACAGCCCTCCAGCTATCTCTGGATATGTTACACATGCTTTCACATTGAATTATGTTGAATCATATCGTCCACCTTGTTCTATGCCCTTTTTATTTGACTTAATGTGTAATGGACACTTTTCCATAAATGTAAGTTGTAATTAAACATTTTTAAAATTAGAATGCATTTTCCCTTTGACTAAGCAATTGCATTTAAAAAAAAGGATCCTAACGAAAACAGGGTACACAAAGATATAGCTATATGATATGTTTCACAACATTATAAAACAGTAGTAGAGAAATATATTTATTGATATTCAAAGATGTTCATAGTGTATCATTAGGTGAGGAAATCAGTAACTGAATGTACAGTATGATTTTATTTTGTTTCAAATTGTGTGTGTGTGTGTATACAACTTAAAAATAGTGGAGAGCTCTAGCCTGTTTGGCTTAGTGGATAGAGCTTTGGCCTTCGACCTGAAGGGTCCTGAGTTAAATCCCTGTCAAGGGCACATACCTTAGTTGCATACCTTAGATGCCCGTCCTGTGCTGGAGGCAACCAATCAATGTGTGTCTCTCATATAGATGTTTCTCTCTGTGTCTTTCCCCCTCCCTTCCACTCTCTAAAAGTCAATGGAAAACTATCCTGGGGTGAGGATTAGCAACAACAACAACAAAAATAGAGTAGAATACATAGCAAAAGAGATCAACAAAGTTATATATCTGGGAGAGGAAATTTCAGGTAGTTTTAAATTTTGTTCCTTTATGCTTTCTGAGCTCCTTGCTTTTCTACAAAACTTAGGAAACTTATGTATATAAAAACATTTTTTTTGGAGCCAAGACTAATAAGATGCTATAAAATATTGTTTTTAATTTGATTGAATTGAAGCTCAGGAAATTTCTTTGTAATCCTTAACCATAGGATTAACTGAACACATAAGGCAACATATCAATGAATAGGGGTTTCTTCCTAGTTAGTGTTCTAGTGTGCATTTGCTAAATAAATGCATGGTTCACAAGTACCCTTCAGAGATAATAACATAGGTAATTTCTACAAATTACTGTTTTTTAAATTTTGATTCTTTGAATCTTTGAGGTGTCATTACCAGAGGAAAATCGTTAATTTTGGGACAGCATTGCTGATAGCACCTCAGTCTCTGTTATAGCAAGCATTACATTAATTGTAGATTGTTTTAGTGGCTTTTGTGTGTTTTTCTTTTTGTCTGTTTTCCTGGTAGACTGTAAACCTCTTGAGGATAAAATTTAAGAGCTTACGTCTTTTCAATTGATCTTCCAAAATATTAGTTGTCTTAGGAGTATTTTTGCAGCTTAACAAATGTTAAATTAGCAATCAAATCCTTTTAAAGGGGATGATATTAAATGCTGCATTCCCATTTAGATTGAGAGTCCAATAAAATAAAAATTTCTTCAGTGTTTTAGAAAACGTGACCATTTCATTGAAGTTAGCATACTGCATATCTGAAGTATAAAGTTAAAGTTAATTGAGAGTCACAAGTTGAGAATGAAATTGTAGGTAGAGGTTGGGAGAGACATAAAGTCAATGGCTATTTACTTTCTAAAGTTAATTTTCTATTAATGTATCTTGTTCCTAACAGATCAATCATTGACACCATGAACTGGAATAAAGGTGGCCCTGGCACTAAAAGGGGATTTGGCTTTGGAGGTTTTGCCATTAGTGCTGGAAAGAAGGAAGAACCAAAACTCCCACAACAGTCCCACAGTGCCTTTGGGGCAACCAGCTCTTCTTCTGGATTTGGGAAGTCAGCTCCACCACAGCTCCCTTCTTTCTATAAAATTGGATCTAAACGGGCCAATTTTGATGAAGAGAATGCGTAAGTGGTAACTTCTGATAATTTAACAAAGGTTGGGCTTTGAGATAATTCATTCCATCAACAGAAATTAAGGCAAAGAAACACTTTGTTTCCAGAATAATAACTTCTAAAATTGATTATCTCACTGAATTGTTGCTAATAAGTTAAACTGTCGAGTTTACTCATTTGTAAGGAAAAATACTTGTGTGCTTACTTGTACCTTTACTTGTTCCAAAAAAGATTTGAGGCCAATGAGATCTAAATATGGCTAAAGAGATTTTAAATAATTCACGTGTTGTTTTTTATGTTCTTTACTGAAGTCTTTTATTGACATCATATAAATTGTTTTGTAAACACAGGCTATTGTCAGAACGTAGGGATGGGATACAGTTTGCCTCAACACCCGAGTTCTTAAAACTTATGTTTTAAGTTCTTAATAGTTTTATATAATACTTTAAACATTAAAGAATTTAAAGTAAAATAAAAAAATCTTAATAGTGGTAGAAAAATAATCTCAGATTTTTGCCCACAGTTCTCAGGAAACATATTTAGCAATTATCTTTTTTTAACTCTAATAAGGTAGTTATTATAAAAAGATGGGGTTTGAGTTCTAATTCCTATAGATCAGTGGTTCTTAACCTTCTGGCCCTTTAAATACAGTTCCTCAGGTTGTGATCTAACCATAAAATTATTTTTTTATTTTTATTTTTTTCTGTCTTCAAGTCAATTATTTTTTTATTTTTTAAATTAAATCTTTATTGTTCAGATTATTACAGTTGTTCCTCTTTTCTCCCCATAGCTCCCCTCCACCTGGTTCCCACCCCACCCTCTGCCCTTACCCCCCTCCCCAACTGTCCTCATCCATAGGTGTACGATTTTTGTCTAGTCTCTTCCCACATCC